CAAAGATACCAAAATATCCCGGAAAGTCGAGAATGGATAGAATCGAGAAAATCGTGTTCAAGAAATCATGGTCAAAAACGTAAATTTCTCCAAATTCGTTCCGAATTTCTCAGGACTTTCGTCTTCATCTTCCACGTTTATTTAAGTCTATTAAACGTCTGTTCTGTTCCCAGTAAGGTAGGTCAACATTAGGATCCAGTGGTGAAGATATAAATGGATCACCAGTGGATTCGTTATTTAGTCTTAATAATTCAGGATGCTTTCTTGATTGCCTTGTATTGCCTTGTATTTGATATATTGCCCATATGCCATTGGAAGCATGTTGCATAAATTTTGAGTCAACCAAATATTCGTACGGTATATAGAAATAACCCCCAAAACCCTAAATTAAGTGATACATGGAGATTAACTGGCATTGTTTATGTCATTGGATCAAGATAGATACATACCCACCATTGTGACCACGAATTTCGAACGCAGAAAAGTTCAGTTCGATCATCGTAACCAACTACAAGGACGACATGATAACGGTCACGTTGTGGTCCCCACGATAAGCCTTTCCTCGAAGCGTTGGGGGGTAATCTGCTAAGGTGGCGTAGCATTTCAGGGTGATGGGCCATGCTCTTATTGATTTTTATCATATCAGGCCTCTTTAGTAATTCTATATTGAAGCTAATAAGGAATGGTCTGTCATGATTCAAACAACGTTTCATGCTAAGCAAAGTAGGTTCTATGAATAATGGAACTACGGTTAACCTTTTAGCTTGTGCAACTGCTTTCTTTGACGGTACCGGGTATTCAATTGTATGTGGCCAGAGCTTTTCACTGCAAAAACCGGAGGCTACTAATCCATAGATTGCTTCTGTTATCCACGTATTGTTCTTCTTGTCTACGAGTCGTGCTTTAGCATTAATAATCTTCGTGCCAGCCCAAAGGATGAATCGACGACTAACATCTCCTTCAAACTCCACGAACAGGTCTTCGCTGTGGTAACGCATAAGTAAATATTCTAAGGCGCCTACAAAAACAGACATATGATAAAATCGGGCTCCCTTCATCATCTAACCATACCCGCGATTGCTTCGGCTGTACTAAAATACAAAAATCAAAATATATTGCTGTTTTTACCTCTACACACTCTTGAAATTATGAACAGGTGGATCCGAAGCTTACCAATCTTCAAAAGCTTCTTGGTCTTCAACTGAGCTCATCCATGGTCTTAAATCGACCCAAGGTCGTAACCTGTATTTAGATTCATCATCAGGAACATAAGAACGTGGTATTGCACTAAGTTTAGGTGGACGACGTTGCGGATATCTTAGGTGGCTACCCGAGCGGCTACCGTGGAAATGCATTTTGTTATAAAATAGACTCTACTTATAGGGATTATACTTCACAGTAACATCATCAGGCTAAAACGACAGTGAATTTAGCAGAGAGATGATAATATATACTAGATGAAACAGGGAGAACGAAAAAAATAGAAAAACCTAAACATAGAAAAATATGTGGTATAGAATTGAGTGACTATTACATTTTGCTTCGA